GACATCTGTAAGATTTTCTAGTATACAATGTTTAATCTGATGTGCAAGGTAATTCTATCTTGAGAAGGATTTGATGTGTTACTTACATTTAACCTCACATATAACTGACTTAAATACTTTCACAGAAGTAGAAAAGCACGTTCTTGAGCAATATAAACTAAACTGGAAAATCTTATAAAGGGATAACCAGTGATAGAACAGAAAGTGTGAATGGAAAACACAATACAGCTACTTTTTAAAAACTTGAGAGGCACATATTAACAGTGCTTTTTAGAATCACGTTGGTGTCCAAATCACTTCTACCAAATCTCATTCCAAAACACAATGAGAGATGTTAAATTTATTATAGGATGCCAACTGAATAGCTGGTTTTTGGAAAACTTTTTTCTAGATTGGAGTTAACCACTTCTGCCTACTACATCCCACCAAAATTGTTGTCATGATGCTAAGTTAGGTGTATAGACTGAGGTATGGGATTCACAGTTTTCTAACTGAAAAGCAATTTCACTATGCAAATATTTTTTAAATGACATTGAATAAGAAAATTGGTATTTTAGCCAATATTTTTTACATTCTTAACAAACTAAATTTGAAACATCTATGGGAAAACAAAGATAGTTATTATTTTACAGGCATTATTATGGCACCCAGGTCTTGGAACTATTTGATCTAGCTAGTATATATGCTTAACTTGTTGCAACTTATGGTAGGGAATTCATTATTAAAGGCAATTGCAAAAAAAAACTTAGAAATATTGTATCTCCTTTCTCTGTCCACAACTTTTAATCATTACTTTCCAAAAGAGAAAAGAAAGCTTTAAGCATTAAAGAAAAATAATCATATAAGAGAAGCATTGATTTAAAAAATCCTTAAATAACATTTAATTTAATTTTGGTTTTAACTTGTATGTAAATTCTTAGATACTGCTCCCTCCAGAGGTGGAGCTTAATTCCCTCCTCTTGAGTGTGGGCTGCATTTAATGACTCACTGCTAACAGATGGAGTAAGGCTGATATAACGGCATGTGACTCTGGGTCTAGGACATAAAACACATTTCAGCATCCATCACGGTTGCTCTCTCTCTTAGGTCACTTGCTTTGGGAGAAGCCAGCTACCTAGTCATTCGCTGCCTTATGGAAAAGTCCACATGGCTAGCAACTGAGGCCTCCTGGGAGCATCCAGGAAGGAAACGAGGCCTCTTCCAACAATCATATGAATGAGCCATGTTTCATGTGCATACTCCAGCCTCAGTCAAGCCATCAGATGATGCAGCCCTGTCTGACAATTTGACTGCAACCTTGAGAGAGGACCTGAGCCAGAAGCACTCAGGTAAACCTCTCCTGGATTCCCGACCCTGGGAAGCTCGGGGAGATAATACACGTTTGCTGGTTTGATCTGCTAAGTTTTGGGCAATTTGTTATGCTGCAGCACATAACTGATACAGTGTCCAAAGAGACAGTGAACTATTGCACTTTAATTTTCAATAGCTCTAAATTAATTATAAAATATTAAACATATCATTTGGTTTTAAGATTTAAGAAGAATTTCCACGGCTAATAGGATATATTTTATTATCATTCACAACAATCTATTTACTTGAACTGTAATTTCCAGTTGTGACTCAATTAAACACAAAACGAAGAACCAGGCCATGCTAGGCTGAGTCTATGATGGTCCACAACAACCACCCACTAGTTATTCACCTTCCTCCTAGTTATTCAATCGAACACTAATATAGATGCTGCTGTGAAGGGATTTTACAGATGGAACTAAGGTTTCAAATCAATTGACTTCAAGACAGGGGGATTATCCTGGGTTGGACTGTCTTAATCAAGTAAGCTCTGATTAGGGGTTCTTCCTGAGGAAAGAGATTCAAAGGTGGGAGGGATTCAATGTGAGGGATTTTCTCCATTGTGGGCTTTGAAAATGGAGGAGCCACATGGCAAAGAATGCTGGTGGCCACTAGGTGTTGGGAGCAGCCCTCCCCTGGCTCCTTGCTGACAGTTGTCAAGAAAACAAGGACCTCAGTCTAACAACTGGAAGAAATTGAATTCTGCTAACAGTCTGTGTGTAAGCTTGGAGGAGGATCCTGAGCTCAAGGTGAGAACATAGCTTTGTGAAACCCTGAAGAGAGAACCCACCCACGCTATGTCGAGATTTCTCTCATTTTTCTTTTATTTATTTATGTTATTGAAGTAACGTTGGTTTATAAGATTATATAAATTTAAGGTGTACATCATTATATTTCATCTTCTGTATAGACTGCATCATGTTCATCAACAAAAGTCTAGTTGCCATCCATCACCATACACATGTGCCCCTTTACCCCTTTCGCCCTCCCCCTGCCCCCTTCTCCTCTGGTAACTCTGAAATCATAAAACTCCTAAAAGAAAGCATAGGCACTATGCTCTTTGACATTGGTCTTAGCAGTGTCTTTTTTAACATCTCCTCAGGCAATGGAAACAAAAGAAAAAAGAAGCAAACCAGACTACTAAACCAGTCAAACTAAAAAGCTTCTGCGAGGCAAAGGAAACCATCAATAAAACAAAAAGACAACCAACTAACTGGGAGAAAATGTTTGCAAATCATCTATCTGATAAGTGGTTCATATCCAAAATATATAAAGAATTCATACAACTCAACAACAACAAAACCAAACAACGTGATCAAAAAATGGGCAGAGGATATGAACAGACATTTTTCCAAACAAGATATAGAGATGGCCAACAGGCACATGAAAAGATGTTCAACATCACTAACTATTAGGGAAATGCAAAGCAAAACTACCATGAGATATCACCTCACACCCATCAGAATGGCTTTTATTAAAAAGACAAGAAATAACAAGTGTTAGAGAGGATGTGGAGAAAAAGGAACACTAGTACACTGCTGGTGCAAGTGCAAACTGGTGCAGCCACTATGGAAAACAGTATGGAGATTTCTCAAAAAAATTAAAAATAGAAATACCACATGCCTGGATTTCTGACTAAGGAACTGTAAGCAAATAAACTGGAGGTGTTTTGAGCCGCTAAGTTGTGGTAATTTGTTATGCAGTAATATAAAACTAATACACAGGCTCACTGTGCAACAGATAAGCACATAGCATTTTTTCCATGGGAATGAATTTATGAATTAGTATGAATGTAATAAAATCTTTCTTAACCTTTTTTGTGCTTTTTATTTTATGATGTTTACATAACGGAATTAAATTTTTAAAAATCGTATTTCATTCATCCAACAACTAATTTAATGCCTATGTACCAGGAAAGTCTTTTTTTTTTTGGTGAGGAAGATTGCCCTGAGCTAACATCTGTTGCCAATCTTCATCTTTGTGCTTGAGGAAGATGGTCCCTGAGCTAACACCTTGCCAATCTTCCTCTAGTTTGCATATGGGATGCCGTCACAGCATGGGTTGATGAGCAGTGTGTATATCTGTGCCTGGGATCTGGGCCTGTGAACCCTGGGCTGCGGAAGTGGAGTGCTCAAACTTGACCACTATGCCACCGGGCCAGCCCCAGGAAAGGCTTTATGTACTGGGGATACAACTTTGACCTAAATAGCCCAAAGCCCCTGTGCTCATGTACTTTACATTCTAGAGGCTTCCCAAGAGTGAGAAGGAGCCATTGGAGCATTTTAAGTGAAGAAATGACATATCCTGACTCACATTGACAAGATCACTTAACCACTGCGGGGAGAACAGTCCACAATTCAGATGTGAGAGGGTGGTGGAGACTAAGGAGAGAATAAGGCCTGAGGGGTGAGAGGGACAGAGAGAAGGGTTGGAGAAGCAGGTGTGAGGAAAAGAAGCACAGGTACAGAATCCTAAAGCAGTGGAATTCTCATATTTAAACATAGGTATTTTACAGATCTTTAATAAATATTATCTACTAGCCCAGCAAGGTATTCAGTTCATTCTGTGGAGTTGCCTAAAAACTAATTGCCTCCTTATGTTAATCAGTTTAAAAAATAAGTGTCCTGATAAAATATGCACACTATTTACGTGTGAATAATTCATAAAAATAGGCAATGCAGGAGCACTGGTGAAGGGCATTTTGACTGCACTGAACACTTTCACCTTTGAGGTGATTAATACACAGTGACAAACTGTGCTGCCATGTGCTTCTTTGTCCTGAGGACATATCAGGGACTCACACAGTCAAACTCAGGGCTATGTAAGGAAGATCATTTCAAAATACAACAACCTGGAGTCACAGATACACTGTCTGGGAAAGGAAAACTTAGGAGCTTTGTGAGTCTGATTGCATTGCTGTTTAGACACATTTCTGTAGGGAGGGGCCAAAGTCACTTCTTTTACAGGTTAGAGTCCTGATGTTCAGGGGTTTTGAAGATTGAGTTACCCTCTGTAGTTAAAAACAAAAAGGAACCTGATCTCCATGAGAACATCTATGTTGTGTTTTCAGGCACAACTCCTCCAGGTTTAAAGAGAAAACCCTTGTCCCTCCACCTCCGTTCCCAGGTCGAGCTCACTCACTGACATCAAGTTCTCTGGGGGCGAGTTTTTTTTCTAGAAGAGTCCAGGGGGAGAGGTAAGGAGTAGGAGTACAGCTCAGGCAGAGGGAATCCGGGAAGAGAAAAGAAGGAAAAGGGGCTGAGACCAGCCTCGGGGGTATCTTCCTAGTTTCCTCGTACGGCCTCTGGGCCAGGCCTCAGGGAGATAATGTGACAAAAAGCTCTCAGTGCAGGAGGAGAGAGGTCAGGGCAAAGTCCCAGGTCCCCGGGTGTGGAATCAGGGTGTTGGGCCCTGAGGGCAGTATCTGGGGCGGGGAAGCTCTGTGTTGGGGAGCCCCCATCTCCCTGAGTTTCACTTCTCCCTCTCACAGCCTGTGTCAGGTCCTCCTGCCTGGATTCTCCTGAAGACGCACCACTTCTCACTCCCATTTCGTGTCCGGTTTCTAGAGAAGCCAATTAGCGTCTCTGCGGTTCCCAGTAATAAAGTCTCCACAGACCCGCCAAGACTCAGATTGTCCCAGAACCCCAAGGATGCAGTTCAAGGCGCCCCGAACCTTCCTCCTCCTGCTTCTCTCGGGGGTCCTGGTCCTGACCGAGACCTTGGCGGGTGAACGCGGGGTGGTGAGGAAATGGCGTCTGCAGGGCCGGGGCGAGGGACCCCCGGGGAAGGAGGGTCTCCACAGACACCTGCCCAGAGCCCCCAACCTCGGCCCCGCCCCGTCCTGACCCCTCCCTTCTCCCGCCCCCTCCTCTTCCCACTCCTAAGTCCCTGCCCTCCTCGTCCGGCCGCCCCTTTACCATCTCACAACCCTGCCCCCTCCTCCCCGCTCCCGGCCCCCAACACTCTCAGACCCGCGATACGCGTCGGGGGGAGAGTCGTGCCGGGTCTCAGCCCCTCCCCGCCCCCAGGCTCCCACTCCCTGAGGTATTTCCACACCGCCGTGTCCCGGCCCGGCCGCGGGGAGCCCCGCTTCATCGCCGTCGGCTACGTGGACGACACGCAGTTCGTGCGGTTCGACAGCGACGCCGCGAGTCCGAGGATGGAGCCGCGGGCGCCGTGGGTGGAGCAGGAGGGGCCGGAGTATTGGGAGGAGCAGACGCGGCGCCTCAGGGGCTACGCAGTTTCCAAGAGAACTTGAACACCCTGCGCGGCTACTACAACCAGAGCGAGGCCGGTGAGCGACGCAGGCCCGGGTCCAGGTCACGACCCCCATCCCCACGGACGGGTCGGGGTCTCCCAGACCAAGATTTACTCCGAGTTTGCGGAACCTGCCCGATCCCTCCGCCGGGGTAGAGTCCGCGGAGACTTGCACGAAGGTTTAGGTTTAATCACCGCCTGGTGGGCGGGGCGGGGGCGGGACTGACTACGGCGCCGGGCCGAGTGGGCGGGGCTGACCGCGGGGGCGGGGACACGGTCTCACACCATCCAGTGGATGTGTGACTGCGACCTGGGGTCTGACGGGCGCCTCCTCCGCGGATCAGATCAACACGCCTACGACGGCGCCGATTACGTCGCCCTGAACGAGGACCTGCGCTCCTGGACCGCGGGGGACACGGCGGCGCAGATCACCCGGCGCAAGGGGGAGGCGGCCGGTGTGGCGGAGCAGAAGAGGAACTACCTGGAGGGCGAGTGCGTGGAGTGGCCTCAGATACCTGGAGAACGGGAAGGAGATGCTGCAGCGCGCAGGTACCTGGGCCTCGGGGCCTCCTTAATCTCGCATCGGGGTAGGGGCCTGCTATGAGAAGAGGCAAATGCGATGACATCAGATCAACCTCATCCCATGGGTCAGGAGACTGAGTCCGCCTGGGTTTTCAGATCTGGTACCAGACAGCGACTCGCCCAAAGTGCCCACCCTTCTCCCTGGGCAATTAAGAGATGCAGCCTCTCCGCAATGGAGGGGAAAGCCTTCCCTGAAATAACTGAGGACCGGTTCCCTTTGACTCTGGCAGGGACAGGGGCTTTGAAAACCATGGGGGACTTTGTCTCTCAGGCCTTGTTCTCTGCCTCGCTCCCAGTATGTCTGAGGTCTCGCTCCAGCTCAAATTTCTGACCCTTCCACTCAGAACCCCCAAAGACACATGTGATCCACCACCCCATCTCTGATCATGAGGTGACCCTGAGGTGCTGGGCCCTGGGCTTCTACCCTGCCGAGATCACCCTGACCTGGCAGCGTGATGGGAAAGACCTGACCCAGGACACAAAGCTTGTGGAGACCAGGCCCGTGGGCGACGGGTCCTTCCAGCAGTGGGGGGCCATTGTGGTGCCTTCTGGAGAGGAGCAGAGATACATGTGCCATGTGCAGCGTGAGAAGCTGTTCAGCTCCTCACCCTGAGATGGAGTAAGGAGGGAGATGTGGGCTCAGAGCCTCTTCTCAGGGAAATTAGGAGCCCTTCTGGAGACCTTCAGCAGGGTGGGGGCTGAGGCCTGGAGATCAGGGCCTTCACCTTCCCTTCCCTTCCGTTCACAGAGCTGCCACCTCAGACTACCATCCCCATCATGGTCATCATTGATGATCTGTCTCTCCTTAAAATTGTGGCAACTGGGATAGCTGTGGTGGTTGCATATGTGATCTGGAAGAAGCACTCAGGTAGGGTGGGTAGCATATCATTGGATCTTGTTCTGTTATCCGTTCAACAATTCTATGTCTTTTGATTGGAGAATTTAATCCATTTACATTTAAAATAATTATTGATAGGTAAGGACTTAAGTATTGCCATATTGTTAATTGTTTTCTGGTGTTTTGTAGAACATTGTTCCTTGTTGCTTATCATGCTGCCTTTTTCTTGTGTTTCGATGTCTTTTTTTATCAGTATGCTTTAACTTATCATTTTTGTGTAATTGCTATAGGTTTTTCCTTTGTGGTTACCATGAGGCATATATAAAATATCTTAAAAGTATAACATGCTATTTTAAGCTGACAATAACTTAACTTCAGTAGCATTCGTAAACTTGACACTTCTTCTCCACTTCACGTTTTACGTTTTTGCTGTTACAAGTTACATATATTTTATATTATGTAACTAATAATGGATTATTGTAGTTATAGTTATTTTTACTATGTTTTTTTTAACTTTTAAACCAGAGTTGTGAGTTATGCACCACCCTTACCATGTTACAGAGTCTAACTTTGATTATATATTTGCCATTACCAGTGAGTTTTGCATTACCTTTTTATGTTACTGTTCTAGGGTATTCCTAAAATATTTTTTCATTAAACATTAATATAATCATTAAAGGTTTAATATCCTTCTTTTCCTAATGACATTTTTCAGTTATATTTTTGTTTTCAGAGGGAATGGAATTTAGGAATATATCTTTTTAATGTATGTAGCAGGCTTCATATGACTACGGGTACAGACAGTTACAAACAGATGGGTGTTTTACTGTATACTTCCTCATCACTTTTTAAGTACCTTTCTCGTGTATGCATGCTTATTTGCATTTTATTCTGAAAAAAGGAGAAGGCCAATGAAGGACAAAATCTTGACAGTGTTTATCTCGGATTTTCTACTCTACTTTCTCTCATTGTATCGTTTCCTATCTTAATTCCTTTTGCACTAAGAGGTGGGAGAATATAAAACAATACCTCCTCTGATTGATGAGATGTCCTTGGAACCTTGTGGTTCCAGTTCTCAGATATGTGGGTCAATTTGAACGACAGAGTAAACTATGAAAGGGTTTCAAATTTTTGTCCTCCTCCTTCCTGACATTGTGCCCTCATTTTTAATGAGCTGGTTCTTTCTTCCTTTTGTTTTTCAGTGAAGAGTGAACAGGAAAAAGGTAAATCCTATTAATATATATCACTGCCTACCTGCCCATGGTTTCATCTGTTTCTTGTACTTTTGTCTTCAACTCTCAATGATCATATTCCTCAACTCCAACATACACATATTTTTCATGATTTTGCTTTATCTTTCCAATTGAAGTTTGCCAGCATCATTAGTTATTTAATTTCCTCCATATTACCTCTCTCATTTGTCTTGTCATTGCAATCAATATAGACAGATCGTTTCTGTCAAGTGAATTTTATTAATAATATACCTGTGGAGTTTTGGCATTTTTAAAGTTTCTGAGGTGTAAGTTTTCTGCAAGGTTCAGGTCATTTGATTTAGCATCCCTTTCCCTGCCACTAAATACTTCATTTCCATTCCTTTCATGCAATTTAAAGACCAGTTTCATTCAGGCATGTGTTAAAATAAAACTCACATAAAACAAAGTTATCTATTAATAGATTGAGGGAAATGTTGTAAATAGAGGTGCACAGGAAACTAACCCTGCATTTTCTCTACAAGCAATGGTTCAGTATTCTGTAAATCAGTGTTTGTGGCTACTTTATACAACATAGTTACCACAATAATGAAAATTGACTATTGATATTTAGTAGCAGTCAAGAACCTACCAAAACTAACAGAATGAATAATAAAAACTTAAATAATGTCAAAAGGGATCAAGAATAATTTTTATGAGGTAGCCACAACAACTAATATTTCTAAAATATTTTCTCTTTCAGTAAATTTATTCCATTGCACCTGTTTTCATTCTTTGTAAAATATTCTCTGGACAAAAGTGGGCTTTCAGCCACTGTTGGCGCATGTGTTTGAATGTTGGTGTGTGTGTGTGTGTGTGTCCATCTGTTTCTGCATCCTGAGGGGTTTGATTTTACATTTAAAATTTTTAATACATTTGAATTTTCTTCACATTTGTTTCCCATGATATTTACATTAATCTTTTCATTTTGTTTTTCAGAAGAACTTCAGAAAAAAATTGGTAAGATATCTCTGACAACTCTTTACTCCCATAACCATTTAAGTGACTGCTTTCTTGGTCTTGAGTGTTCCCTGCCATTTTACCTACATGACATCCATTGGCTCGCCCTTCTCCTGAATGTCTACACTTCTCTCCCCCAGATTTTTGTTTATGAACTTCTTCTATATTACATTCTCTCCATTTCTGTTTTTCAACCTTTCATTCATTTCTATTCCTTCTTTTTTCATTCCGTACCATACCAGTCCTTCCGTGTAAACACTGGCTTCTTCAAGAGACTTGCCATAGTTGTATTATGAAGTTGGAGAGATGAAGGGAATTAGGCTGATAGGCATATGGTTTCCATTCTACATGTATTTTCTGGGAAATGACTATTAATTTAGGACCTCTGGTATGAAGTATGAGGGCACAGTAAGATGCAATCAATTTTACCCCAAACCTTAAGAAATGAGAGAACAGTCTTACCTTGCTGAATGTCGTTTTTCCCTCCATTGTCCTTTTAAAGACTGTAAATTCTCTTGTCTCTTATTGGTCAAGTGTGAACTTGAGACTCATTTTTCCACTGCCTTTGAACATATTAGCCAAGTGCTCCCAGGTATACAAATATTTTACATAATTTTTCCTTCATTCCAACCATAGTAAATATCATTTATACTTTTGCACTTTTATTGACACAATTATTAATTCTGAAAACTGCAATTCCTTTTAAATGTTTATAGAACTTTATTAAGGAAAGTTCATTGATAGTATGTTTCTCAATTCAGAATATTTTAAGCTATTGTTCTATAATATTTCCAAAATTTTTTTCATAAACATTAATATAATCATTAAAAGTTTGTCATCTTTTTCTCATGACATTTTTCAATTATATTTTTTTGTTTTCAGAGGGAATTGAATTTAGGATTATATCTCTTTAATGTATATAGGAGGTTTCATATGTCAAAAGATAAACTCAGGCACATAAAAATTTCCAAGAGTTTATTTGACTAAATGTCAATTTGAATTGGGCAGTAACAAACTGAAAGTTAGCTGGAATGCTATACCAGCAGAAACTAGGGGCAAGGTTTGTATAGAGAAGATGAGGAAGCAAACCAAAGAAATTATTTCAATGGCTATAGCTTAAGCTGTTGCCTTATTTGGGAAAGCCTAATTGGTTGTTCATGATTGGTGGTTCTTAAGTTCCATTTTCTTGGATTTGAGTGCATTGACTCTGACCTAGGTTTTGGTTTGCTTATGTAGGCTACCAAGGCATTAGAGCCACCTCAGTCTAATGGCTTCCTTGTTTAAATACTTCAACACATATGGCTACTGCTACAGGTACACTTTTGGGTAGATGAGTGCCTTTATTGTATGATTCCTCATCACTTTTTGAGTACCTGTCTCATGTATGAGGGCATGTTTGCATTTTTT